CACGGTGCCCCACTGCCCATGGCGTAGCACCTCCACCCGGCCCTCGCCGGGATGGGTACCCGCTCGCAGCCGCACCGGGAGCACCTGGGCATGGAGAGCAGCTGGTCAGCACCCCCAGGACATGGCCACCCACCTGCACAAGTGCAAATGGAGTGGCTGGGTGTGCTGCTCAGCTCTGAGACCCTCTATCGGTGGGATGAGGTGCGGGGCTCTGCCAGGGCTCACCTTTCCTGGGGAGGCCTTGCTCTTGCTCTTGCCCTTGCCTGTGCCCTTCTGGAAGGCAGGGCTGGGGAGACAGCTGACAATGGCATGCATGCCGTGGGGGCAGGCGTGCTGGTGGGGGGCTGGTGGGGCCACCTGTATAGGGCAGCGGGCCAGGTGGGGCTCTGAGCCCTGACACTGCACCCTGTGGACCCAGAAGCTGTTCTTCTGGCTGAGAGTCTTCAGGCTGTCAAGGGAGAGGAGCAGAGCCAGTATCAGCTTGGGTGCCAGAGACTCACCCCCACCCAATATCCATGCTGGGTGCCCACCCAAGGTGCCCTGCCTGCCCTGCCCAGGGCTGAGCCCTACCTGGAGTTGGAGTCCTTCAGCTTCCTATTCCAGAGCTTTCTGTGGGTGCACAGAGCCAGGAGGTTGGGAGGTGTCATGCTGACACTGCACAACTGACCCCCCCCACCCCACCACTCCTCCCCTCCCCAGCAGGAGCTGGAGCCATGGGGTCTTCCCACAGAATGTCAGGTTCTCTCACAATGGCGATTACCGTGCCAAGCCTGGCTGTACCATGTGTTCCAGCAGGACTGTGTGACTCCTGGCATTGGTAGGGGCTCATTATGTGCTGTATTTATAGTCCCAGTCTGAGACAGGGGTGGAGGGATTGAGAGACACTTGCCTTTTCCTCTCGTTTCTCCCACGCTTTGCCAGCCATATCTGGAGACCATACCCACAGTCCTCTGGATGCTGCTGAGCCCAACTCTGACCCTTGTCAAGGCCACAAGAAGGGGACCTAGGCATGGCCAGGCACCTTGCCCACCCACACATATGTGCAGCCCTTCCCTGACACCCCCTCCAGTCTCTTGTCCCCACAGTGTGCCCAGCCAGGCACCTGTCCCACATGCTCAGGTGCAATGCATGTTTCCCACATCCCTACCGGTAGAAGCTGGTGTTGATCTGCTTCTCACGGGGGAAGCCCAGCATCCCACAGACCACACGGCTGTTGTTCCTGGTCCAGTTGGCATCGCACACCTGCCTCCAGTGCCCGTCGTGCTTCACTTCCACAGCACCCTCCGTTACTGGCATGCTCAGCTTGGCTCGTGCCAGGATGGGCTTGAGCCGCACCTCCTCCAGGCTCAGCCCTGGCACCTGCCACAGTGGGCACAGGGTTGGGCATGGGACTCCAGTATCGAGGGCAGGGCGTACAGGATGGGGACAAGGAAAAGGGTTAGAGGGACCTGCTCCAGTCCCCCCAGGCATACCCTGCTGGGAACAGGGGAATTCCATGACCCCCCCTCACCTCTCTCAGGTTACCAGAGGTGGTGGCCTGGGGGGAGCTGCCAGGCAGTCGCTGTCCTGAGCACACCACACCAGCATCCTCACCATGGTGGCAGTCACTGATGCCCCAGCCATTGTGGACACACTCTGCCAGGGAGCCTTCATTGCCCCCACACCGCACGTTGTCCAGCCAGATGGGGCCTGGAGAACACAGCACCATGGGCACCATCCAGTGCATCCCACCAGCTGCCTGCACCTACAGTCCCCCAGGGCAGGCTCCCCCTCCCCACTGCCCTCCCCAGGACCCCCCACCCTTCCACTCTCCACCTGCCCCTTACCTTCCCCTTGGCCGTAGGTGGCACTATGGGTCCAGGTGATGGCTGCGGTGTAACCCAGCTGTCTGCAGGCGACGGTGGCCGCGTGGAAGTCGAAGCCATCGTCGCAGACAGTGCCCCAGCGTCCCTGGTACAGCACCTCCAGCCGGCCCTCTCCCGCTGGCCCCCGTGGTCCCCCCAGCCGCAGCTGCACTGGGGCCAGGTCCTGCCCGCTGGGGGCCACCCAGCACAGCAGCAGCACCAGAAGGATGGGACTTGTGCCAATTGGCATCACCATCGCGGTTCTGCAGGTGGGATGCCTGAGGACAGTCTGACAATGAGCCCTTGGGGATCATGGCAGGGTAGGGGTGCTCCCTGTGCCCCAAGAGCTGGGCAATGGTGTAGGGATATCATGTCCCCTTGCACAGCAGTGACATCCCTGTCCCTGTGCTGTGGGGGATGCAGGCGCTAGACCCTGCCATACTTGCAGCATACCCCACCTCTGGGCTCAGCCCCAGCCCTGCACCCATCACTGCTTCACTCAACCCTGGCACAGCCCTCCCAGGAACCGACAGCCATGGGTAGCCCCACGAACATTGCCCTGTACTCTTGTTGCTTCCTGCCTGCCCCGTGCTTTGAGACGTGGGTGGGGGCCTCACAGAGCCCCCCTTTATTCCCTGCTTGGATCCTCTGCCGAATACCAGGGTCCCTCCCCTCCCCATCCTTCATACAGCTCTGTCTCCATCATCCCATCTCTTCCCCTGCATTCCCACTCAGAGCACTAGTGGGGTTGCTGACCCCCTCCAGGTGCCCAAATCTCCCCCCACCGGGGCTACCCCCGGCACTCACCCTGGCAAGGGATGGCGGTGCAGGACTGACAGCGATGCGGGGCAGGCGGTGGCGAGTGGACGCGACTGCTGGCTCTCGCTGCTGCTGGCTCCCACGGCTCCTGACTCCCGCCGAGCACCGCCTGCAGCCGCTTTTATGTTGCAGCGGGGTGGGCCGCTCCGGGGGGGGGGAGCCTCCGCCCTCCCGCCTCGGGCCTGGAGCCCAGCCCTACTCCCTGCCCTCCCCCGGCCGTACTCTGCCACACTGGGGCAAACCTGTCCCCGCCCCAACCCCTGTCCTCCCCGCAGCCTGGGGAGGCTGAGGACCCCCGGATACCCCTACCTGCCGTGAGCCTGGACCTCCTCCCAGTCGGAACCCAATGCCCCCGGTCAAGGATGCTCCTCCCATGGGTCTGTCCCCCAGCCAGGCAGAGCATGGACCTTGTGGAGGTGACAAACTGTCACGCTAGGGACACCTCAAAAGGACACCTCTTGCCCCTTCTCACCTACACAGCGGCTCAAATGGGCATGCAGGCAGGGGGTGCCTGGGGGTGCTGCAATGGGGCCAGGACTCGGGGGGCACAGAGACCACGGCAGGCTGTGGGATGGCATTGGAAGTCCGGAGTACGGTTCTCCCAGGGCTCGGGGCATCACCTGGGCCATTCCTGAGCCAGGCTGGCTGTGAAGGTCCTCAGGCATTTCTCCCTGGGACGTGGAGACTGGGGATGCCCCCCTCCCGACCTGCCCCGGGAGCAACCTCCGGCTTGGGGTGCAGCCAGTCCCCGGGGCACCCCGCTGCCCACACGCCCGCCGTGCCCCGCCGTGGGATGGGGATAAACAGGAAACCCTGTGCCCTGGCTGTGCCCAGGGACCGGCCAGGAATGTGCCGGTGGCCACCGGGCTGTTTGTTTGGAGTCAAAGCAGCTGGATCCTGCCGGGAGGAGCCAGGATCAACACGGCCGGGAATAGCCCGTGAGCTCATCGCCACGTCTCGCAAGAGCTCCAGCACCTCTGGGTGTGCATGGGTGCACGGCGCCGGGACCCGCTCGCAGGAGACCCTCATCCCAGCCCTCTGCCTTGTCCGGGCTCAGGGCATGTGCTGAAGCCTCTCCTGCGATAGGGGTCCCTGGCCAGCCCCAGCATGGGGGCCACGGAAAGCCCTGGGGAAGGGCAGGGTTGCAGCCAGCAGTGAAGCCTGTGACTCATTCGTGTCTCAACGTTTTGGAGCTCAATTGCTAAAGTATGAGGCCAGAAGTCCCCCTGGCCTCCCCACCCGGAAGATGCTGGCAGGGGTCCAGGGCAGGCGGGTGCTGGGTACCGCTCCCAGCTCTGCCTCTGCTCCTGGGGTCAGCAAGAAGAGGGCAGAGAGGGGGCTGGTGGGCTCTCCCACACCTGGGACCTGCCAGCCTCACCCTGTAGCACTGGGGGCACTGTGTTGTGCTGCTCATTGTGACCGTGGCAGGCTGGAGGCATCCCCCTTTGAGGGGACACCTTGAGGTGTCACTCAGTGAGCCCCTCATCTCCCTCGGGGCTCACTGGGTGCCAGCACCTGCAGTCCCGGGCAGCCAGCAGCGGCAGCAGCTAAAAATACGCAGCAGGCAGCAGGGCAGCCCCGTGCGCGGGAAGCTGTGGGCAGCAGGCAGGCGTGCGGGGCTATTCTCAGAGGGCTGCGGGACTATTCCTGGCCAGTCAATATTGATTCAGCTAGCTCAGGTGCAGCAGCTCAGCCTGTCAGCACCGTATTTAGGGCCCGGCGGGAGGCGAGGTGGGCGGCTGAATCGGGAGCATTGTCCAGGGGAGGAAGAGGGCAGGGAGAGGATGTGAGCTCTGTAATCTGCAGCCAGCGGCTCCCGGGCCTGCTGTGGCTGAGGGCTGGCCAGCACGGAGCATCTGCCCTGGTGATGGAGGGACAGAACCAGAACATGTGCAGGCAGCACCTGGTGGGAACAGCAGGGAGTGTGGGGCACAAGAGAGTAGCTGCCACTCCTGGCTCCTGTGGCCTCTGAGCTGCTGGGCACGTGTCTGCTGTACACACACTCTCCCAGAGCTGAGGGACAGAGGACAGTTGGGGCCTCCAGGTAGCAAAGCAGGTCCCAGGCAGCTCCCTGGCTGCCTGTTTGTTCTAAGCACCATGGGAAGGTCCAGGCCAGCCCAGAACTGGGGGACTCTGTACAAACAACCCTGCATGCCCCTGAGCCTGCATCAATGAGCACAGGAGAGGGTGAGGAGCTGTTTGTCCCTGTTCACTGCTCTGAAATGTGCCAGTCCCCTTTGGCACCTCCACTGAGGCTGCAGCACCAGCCACAGTGCAGCCCCTCATGTTGGCATGGTGGGAGCTGCGTGAATTGCTCAAGAATCACAGCAAGAGTGCTCATGATGGAGCCTGGGCCAAGGTTTATTTCCATGGGCACAGGCAGGGGCTGAGTGAGGCTTACCAGGGTCACACAGTGCACGAGTCACTGCAGCAAAGCTGGGGTGTGGAAGGCTGGGAGCAGCCGCCTGTTTAAGATAGTAGCAACTGAGAGCACAGGGGACCCTACCAGACTCATCTCTCTGGGGATGCTGCCCTGAGGTGTCTGGTAAGCAATTCGGGGATGAACAGGGCTCTACATGGGATCAACAAGGCTTGCTGCTGCCACGAGCCTGTGTTGGTGAAGTCAGTGTCACCACTATCATCAGAGGCTCCTGAAGTCCTTGAGGGCCACCTGGGCAGCATTGCGTCCTGCTGCTCCCATCACTCCTCCTCCTGCAAGAAAGCAGAAATGGGGAGTGGTAGTGGACCTCTTCCACATGCCCCTGCCTTCCTTCTGCAGCCCCCCAGAAGGGTCCTGGCTCCCAGCTCTGCTCACCAGGGTGGGCTCCACTTCCACACAGGTACAAGCCAGGAATTGGGGACCGGTAGCCAGAGTAAGATGGTGCTGGCCGGGCAAAGTACAGCTGGTCCAGAGACATCCCTCCGTGGAAGATGTTCTGCCAACAGAGCTCTACATGAGCTGGCTGTGCCTGGCCCAGGACTGTATGCCCACCAGCACTGGCACCGTAGTGATGCTCAGAGGTGACACGCATGGTACCCACTCCACCAGGCAGTCCAAAGATCCTCTCCAGGTCTGGTGGTGTCAGGATATCTCTGCCAATGACGGATGCCTTGAATCCTGGGGCATAGTCTTCAATGCAGTCAAACACTAGAGAAAGATGAAGGGACTGGTGGGCAGCTTGGGGGACATGGGAGCAAGCTCATGCACAGTTCCAGGGCAGCTCTGCCCATGGGCAGGGACCAGTGCTCCTGGTGTTACTGGAGTCTGTGTGTGCATTACCTACCCCTGTCTGCATACGCGTTTTTGGCCTGCTCGTCCCAGGACTGACCATCCGCCAGCACGGACGGGGTGTACTGGGTGAAGAGGGACACAACGTGGCAGCCCTGTGGGGCCAGTCCTGGGTCCAGCGCTGAGGGGATGCAGAGCTCGATCATGGGCCTGAGGGAGCAGTACACCAGCTGGGCAGGCAGAGGGACCCAGCCACCCCACACCTCTTTCCCCAGCACCTGCCATGACTGTCCTGTCCCTTCCCCTGAGGCACCAAGGTGTGCCAGTGCAGGCTCCTACCTGTTGGAGGGGTGTCCGTGGGTAGCCTCAGTGAATGCCTGATGCAGGAGGTGGGTGTTCTCGCAGTTGAGATGTATGGAGCACTGGTGGTGGGGCAGGGGCTGGCCATCACGGGTATTGGGGGCAGCCAGGAAGCTGGGCAGCCGATCCACCGCCACTGGGCATGGGATGGGGAAATGGGGGAAGCAGGGTGCAGCCTCTTGCTGAGCCTAGCACTGGTGTTCCTCCAGCAGGGATGGCAGCAGAAGTGTCCTTGAAAGTACCTACCATTGATCTTGGTGACAGGGGAGCGTGTGTCAACCTGCTGGATCCGCTGGACAAAATCCTTTGGCAGCTGCTCCTAGGATGGGATATGCCGGTGCAGAGACTGACTGTGAGGGGCAAGTGTGGATGGGGGGATGCTGACATGCCAAACCCCCACCAGTCCCATGCACGCCATACCTGAGGAATGAGTTCCAGGAAAGTGATTTGGGGGGAGGCATTGGAGAGCACCAGTTTACTCCTCACCTCTGTACCATCCTGCAGCGCAACACCCCGTGCCTGCCCGTCCCTGCCCAGCAGCACGTGGCACACTGCCTGGGCAGGCAGAGGGGACAAGACTTCACCAAGAGCATCCCTGCTTCCTACAGGGATGGCAAGGTAGCTCCCCTCTACCCGGCACCCCATACCTTCTCAACAAAGATGTGGGCTCCCCGGGCTGTTGCTGCATGGGCAATGGCTTGGGACAGGGCTCCCATCCCACCTGCCACGTAGCCCCAGGCTCCCCGCCGTCCCTCTAGCTCGCCCATGACATGGTGCAACAGCACGTACCTGTGGTAGCAGGACGCTAGGTTAGGTGCCGGACGAGGGGATGGGTCTGTCCCCTGCGTGGGCAGAGTGAGGGCAGTACCACAGCCCCACAGACGGGGCCGTGCCAGCTCATAGGATGCCAACTGTTACAGGGAGCATGCACCAGCCAGGACTCAATCTGACCCAGGGTTAGAAGTGTCCAAACAGCAAAGAGATAGGTGGGGGACACCCAGGAGAGCCATATGGCAGGGATGGCCCCTTGCCCAGTTCCAACCCCTGAGGCACCCCGGCAAGGCTGAACAGGCAGTGAGAAGGAGAGGCACGGAGTCAGGGCATTGGGTACTGGGGTGCAGCAGAGCCAAGCACAGAGCATGGTATGGGGGGACAAGGCAGCCATGAGCCCCAGGGGGAAGGGACCCTCACCCGCTGCCGGGGGTGTGGGGGCTAGTCATGGCTCCAATCACCGCGTCAGTAGCAAGAGTTGCCTTCAGGGGCTCTGACTCAAACCACTGATCCAGGATCTGGCCCAGGAGAAAGAGAGCATGCCAGGCTTGGGGTGCGGAGCTGCCACAGCACCCTTGCAGGCAGGACCCGAGGCAGTGGGTGGCTCCACACTGCTACCATCAACACAAACCTTGGAGATGGGGGCTGTGAGCACCTCGTAATAGCGGGGCAGCTGCTGCCCCAGCGCCAGCCCTGGGGGTGGAGAGGTGGTGTGAGAGCTGCATTGCTGTACCAGGGCTGGCTGCTAGTGCCCAGCTGGGTTTGGGGAACAGGCAGTGGGACCAAGGTGGGCAAGCCTACCAGAGCCTGCCAGCCCAGCTGGGGCTCCTGAGGAGGCTCTGCATTGCCCAACCCAGGTGCTGGCAAACACCCCTTGCCATCGGGGTTCCCCAGCACCCCAGATGTACCTGCCTGCAGCAGGGGCCGCAGGGCTCGCAGGTTCCTGAGCTGCTGGAGCAGGGACCCCTTCCCCAGGGCAGCTGTATCAACTGGAGGAGAATCCAGCAGTGGGTCAAGGGCCGACACCATGCCCCCCATGAATGCCTCATACTCAGGGTAAGCCTGAAAGGGGACAGAGAGGGAACAACAAGGACTGCACCATGGTAGGTGCAATGGATATCACACCCAGGAGCAACCCTGCTGCTTCAGGGACAGGGCAGCACCTCAACGGCTTTGCTGTGCCAGGTGCATGCCCCTGCAGTACCTGGGCATCCTTCTGGGAGAACTGAGCAATCTGCTGCTGATTCTGGGCCATGTTGTGTCCCAGCAGGAGGGAACGAGGAGGGCTCCTGTCTTCCAGCAGTGGGGTGAAGGAATAGGGGTCCCGTGGGAGCACCCTCAGGCCATGCCGCTACAAGACAGGGATGTCCCTGCTACAGGACCCACCCTGCAGAGACAGCCTTGCAGCAGGGGCACCCTGCCTGCCTGCTGGCAGACCAGCAAGGGATGGGTGCCAATACCTGCAGCTCCAGCTCGGCATAGATTTGTGGCCGCAGCAGGCTGAGCAGGTACGATGCCCGGGAAAACTTGAACCCTGGAAGATGTGGGGTAGAGGAGGGTGGCCACACCCAGGGCTAGCCAGGGCCAGGGTGACAAGGGGCATGCAGGGGTACCTGGCACAATCTCCTCTGTGACAGCCGCACCGCCCAGCACGTGGCGCTTCTCCAGCACAGCTGTGTGCACCCCTGCCTGCTGCAGGTAGGCAGCCTGTGGGGAGCATGGCATCGCACTGCCCATCCCTCCAGATGGGATGTGTCCTTGTCAGTCTGAGCACCCTCTGGCACATGGTGCTCCCCCTCACCAGGGAGGGCCCTGTGGGAGCCCCCAGCCCCATGGGCACTGCCACAAAAGCCCTCTCTTCACCACTGCGCAGACCCTTCCCAGTCCCTGGCTGTTCCCCAGGGATAGAGGAGAGGCAGCATGCCATTCTTGGTACTTACTGCCACCAGCCCGTTGTGCCCTGCAAGGAGAGAGGGAGGTGAGCAGAGTCCAGTGTTGGGACAGTCCCATAGGACAGGGCACCCTGCCTGAGGCATGGGGGAGCCACAGCCACCCGAATAACGGGCTCTGGACACAGGGATACAGGTGACAAGGGGCATCCTCCACTGGCCCTACAGCCCTGGCCCTAACGGTGCAGGGGAGGGGGACAGAAGTGCTCAAGGCAGATGCTCCATTTGTGCCCTGCATGCTGGGGGGCTGCAATGTGTGCCCAGCTGTGCCAGACCCCTGGGGGTTTGCAACGTGTCCAGCACTGCTGTGGTTCCTGCCTGGCCACTCCCCTGCCACCTGTTGTGGGGGAAGGGCAAGTGGGGGTCCCCGCTGGCTCCCCACAGCTCGACACTTGCTCCCTTGCTCCGTTACCTGCCCCGATCACCACCGCGTCGTACTCCCGCTGCAGCCGCTCTGCAGCCCCGGCGTGGGCCAAACGCGCTCCTGACAGCCCCAGGGACAGATGCCAGTCCTGCAGCCAGCGGGAAGAGCAGACTGTGCTCAGCCTTGCCTGGATCCTGGTTGCCATTGCCCCACAGTGCCTGGCCATGGCTGCCCTGAGTCCCGCAGCCTGGACTTTGCTTTCCTGGCGGAACTTTTCCCAGGGCTTCCGGGCACGGGGAAGAGATGGGGGGGCCCGGGCAGGGAACGCCTTGGGGCAGGGCCAGCCACTGTGTGCTGGGGCTTGCGGGGACGCTAGGCAGGACAGGATCACACGCCGAGCGCTGCCCCTGCTGCTGGCACTGACCCTGGCACAGTTTTGCTGGGGGCTTGCAGCAGGGCTGGAGACCAGCCCCAGTGCTGAGAAGGCGACAGGGTCAGATCCTGTCTGGGGTTCAGCAGGGTGCCAGGTACTCCCCAGACTATACTCCAGGAAGGCGCTGGGCAGGCAGGTGGGGGCCTGAGAGCCTCCCCTCCCCCAGCCCGTTCTGTTCCAGGGATGATCCAGAGACATGTGGCTGGGGTGATGGGCCAAGCACTGCAGGTCAGAGTGAATTTGCCCCACCTTGAGCAGGCAAGCCCCAAGCAGGTGGGGACAGCAGGAAAACGGGCAGCTTAGGGAAGAAGTTGGCTTTGAATCCAGTGCTATTGCTCAGCAAATTCCTGCCCAGCAGGATGGGGCAAAGGACCTGTCATGGTCCAGTGCTCCCTGAAGAACCATCCCCAGCTCCAGGGAGCAGCATGGGAGCAACAAAGGGCAGTGGCTGCCCAAGTCCCTTGCGGCCAGCCTCAATCCCGACTGTGCCCGAGGTTTGGACATGCACTGAGCCCAGATGTGCCTGGGACACGCATAAGCTGCCTCAGATTTACTTGCTGTTCCCAGAGGAGCTCAGACCTGTGGCTAACCAGTGCCTGGGAGTGTGGGTGTGGGGAAGGGAGTACAGGACAGGATGCACCTCCCCAGAGTCTGCCTAACCTCTGAGGGCCCCACACCCCACATTTGGGGGTGAGGGGGAAGGGGGATGCACTCCAAACCATTTCTCCATACACATTTGGCTACACTATTTTGAGCTCCAGCCAAAGCCAAGCAGCAATGCCAAGCTAACACTATAAATCCTGCTCTGGAAAAGCTCTTTGCAGCAAGATGGTGATGTGCCAACATCTTCTCAGCCCCACTCTCTGCCTGTCCCCAGAGGCTGCTGGGTGGCAGTGAAAACCCATGGAGAGCAGGGAAGGGGGTAGTGCCAGCCCTGCCAGGCTGAAGGATGGGAAGGCTGCCTGTCACTGCCTGCAGACACAGCCCACGGCACAGACACTGAGAAAGCAGCCCAAGTTCCTGGAACACCCACACCCGCTTTAATGTCCGAGGTGTTTGGAGGCAGCTCAGAGCAGAGGGATGCGGGATGGCTCCCAGAGGCGCCGGGCCAAGTCACAGGCCTGCTGGACCACAAGCTCAGAGGGGATGATGCCCAGGTGCACAGTCAGCAGCTCGTAGCACTTCACTACTTCTGCCTGGTGGTTCTTGCTGTAATAACGCAGCAACTTCCTGGGGAGGAGAAGAAAGAGGCCTTGACAGGTAGAATGCACACAGGCACCCCCTTTCTAACCTTTAGAAAGTCCTTTGCAAGGACACAGAAGGACCATGGCACCAGGCTGGGGAGGTGGGCTGGTGCAACCCCAGTGACACCACAGCACTAGTATCACCCTACAGTGACACTCTGGTGAGGACAACATTACTCACAGGGACCCCCATGCCAGCCCAGCTTTGAACCCCGGTGCCAAACCACAGGGCTGGTGACTGCTCACCTGTAGTAGTCCCCTGCCAGCATCCCAATTGGAGCAGAATCATCAGACAGAACTGGTACCTCTATCACCTCCAGCTTGTAGCCCTGGGGACAAATGACAGCAGAGGGCAGAAGCAGGGATAGGACTCCCGAGGAGCCAGAGTTGGCTGTGCCTACAGCCCCTCTCCCTGCCCCAGAAGGTGCTGGGGCAGAGGGGCTCAGCCCCTGCCTGGCCCCACCTACCAGTTCATTCTCAAACCAGAGGAAGTAGGAGCAGCAGTAGTCGGCATCCTGCAGCATGAGCGTCGTGTAGCCCTTCTGTAGGTACCGCCGGGCCAATGTGATCAGGGACCAGACCTGGAGGACAAGGGACACCTGAAGCCTGAGCAGAAAATCCTCCAATTACCACCCCCTCAGGTGGTTCCCATGCCACTTCTATCCCCATGAGCAGTACCTTTTTCTTGATGAAGTTGGCCAGGGGAGCCTTGCCGAGCTCTGAGCTGGACTTCTCTGTCACGCTGAGTGATGGTGCCATCATCTGCCCAGCTGTGCGGTCCACATAGATGAAGTGCACCAGGCCAGGAAAGTCCTCTAGGTATGTGGGGTGGGTTAAGGGTGTCCAACAACTTTGGTGCCTTTCCAGGACAGCCCCTGAATCTCAGGGAAACTGCCTTCACCCACCACACTCCCTCCCTTGACCTTGGTGCTGGGGGACATGGTCCCACTCCCATGTCTGCTACCCCCCCGGGGACACCCCCTCGCCAGGCTGTGTTCCCAGCCGCAGAGATGGGTATGACACCATGGTGATATTGCGCCTGCTCTTCACCAGAAGGAAGTCCCGCCAGTCCAGCAGCTTCTCTCTGCCAAGAAGCAGCACAGTGAGAGTCCAGAACCCCCAAGTCCCAGCACAGCTGGGTGTGCGGCAGCCCCTTGGTGATGCTGGCCACCCCATGCACTCACCTCATCAGCTTCTGAGCATGGTCCCGCAGCCCCTGGGACAGGCTGTGGCCAGCAGAGGTCAGGAAGAGCTGGCGGTACACAGAGCAGAGCTGCCGCTTCACGCTGGACACTGCCTGCAGCAGCCTGAGCCAGGAGACACAGAGAATACTGAGTTTGGACACCGGGTTCCCAGCACTGCAGGGACAGCTGTGCTGGCCCCAGCTTGGGAAAGGTGCCTGCCTGCTTTGCAGACTTTCCCCGGCCACCCCCTACTCACTCCAAGGAGCTCCCAGGCTCACTCCGGGAAAATATCTTGTTCTTGAAGTCCAACCAAGTGTTCTGCAACTAAAGAGACAGGACTGTGTCAGGGCGTGGGGGACAGCAGGACAGGGTCCTCATGTTCCCACTCCCACCTGGATGTCCTGTCCACTCAGCTTCTTCACAAACTTGTCCATGCGCTGCCGCAGCTCGGCCAGGAACGGGTAGGAGCGTGCGACTCCCGCCTCTGGCCCCTCTTCTAGCTTCTTCTCCAGCACCAAGAACCCATCCAGCAACTGGTATAAGGTGACAGCCACCTGGGTCATGGGGCCCTGCCAGGAAAGGGAGACGTGGGTCAGGCAAGACTCAGTCCTACATCACCTCCCTCACCTCAGAGGCAGCTCACCTTGGTCAGTAGCACGAGGGAGATGCCTGGCCAGAGTGGCAGGCAGTGCATGGTGTGTGGCAGCAAGGGGCAGTAACCTTCCCGCAGGCTGGCATCCAGGAAGATCCTTCTGGGGTTTGAAGCTTCAGGGACCAGAGGTCCCAAGGTCTGGAGCAAGTCCTCTGCCATCTGGGGAGAAAGAAAAGATGCTCAGCCCCCCGTGGGTATGATGCAGCCTGCACCAACCCAGGATGCTCTGTAGAGACATGGCAATGCCCTGAAAGCTGCAACCAGGCATGACAGAACTGAACAAACTGAAGGGGCCATGCAACAGAAGATCAGCAGCAAGGGAAGTGCCTAGGAACCCCAAAAGAGCACCAGACAGAAAGACAAAGGTTGCAAATGCCTTAAAGTGAGGCCAATGCTTACTTGCAGTATGTGAAGTACTGCAGCATCCATCATAGAAGCAGCTCAGAAAGCCCAGAGGCAGCAGAGGGAGACACTGGACTGCTCTGAGGCAGCCCCGATTCCTCTCTGCTGACAGCTCTGGACAGGGAGACTGTAAGCAACACCTCAGAGAGGGCAGTTAGAGCTGTCACAGTTAGGCACAACATGTGGGACACAGGGTACCCACAGCTACAGCACAGCAAGAGACGAGTGCCGAGGACTGGAGACCGCAAAGAGCACAAAGAGCATTGGGACAGGCTGTTGAGGTGTGGAGCTGGGAAGCATTGCAGGACTGTGCTCACCTGGACATCTGCAGCTTCTGCCTCCCCAATGCTCAGCATCTCAGCGCCCTCTGACCAGCTCTCGCTGCCTGCAGGGAACACAACAGCAGGTTGCCCTTCCCACCAGGCCCCTTCACAGCCCCAGAGCCTCTGCAGGGCTGGGGCAGGGGGCAGGGCTGCTGTCTAGCTGGGGACTCACCTGTGCTGTGCCTGCCTGGCGAGGGCTCAGGTGTGTAGTAGACCTCGGGCACAGATTGATCATCTGTGTCCTGCCACCGAGAATGGATGCGTCAGCAATGGGAGCAATGCAGGCAGCCCTTCCAGTATCCCACTCTACAGCTCCTGATCTCATAGCCTCACCTGGTCATCTGAGTCCTTCTCTGCAGCTCCATGGGAGCCAGGGCCACTCACAGGGATGCTCTCACTTCTCTTGGGTCCCTCGGGGAGAACGTTCCCCACCATGGGCTTCCAAAAAGAAGGAAAAAAAGTTAAGCCCTGGCTGCCAAGGCATCCCCCCACAGGAGCACCTTGACCTGCTCTGACCCCAATCCTGCTCTAGACCACCTGGGGGCTGAGCTCCTCCTCGGCACTCTGGCTGGGGTATAGGTCCTGCACCAGGAGGATGAGGACAAGCAGGTCGGCCGGGCGGATGGAGCTGGCATTGCGGCTGCAGGACAGAGAAGGGAAGGGTCAGCCGGGAGGACAAGTGGTGTCTTTGGGGAGGGTGGTGGGGCCGGGCGTACCTGGAGTAGAAGGCCAGCAGCTTGGTGTGCACCAGAAGGAAGGCATGGCCCACCTCGTCCCCACCACGCTCAGGACTGGCGTTGATATACTGCACCACTTGCCGTTCCAGGAACTCAATGCACTGCTCACACAGCTGAGGGTGGATCAGCCGCTCCACGGCCTGGGGTGCAGGTGGGAAAAAGGCTGCTGAGTTCTCTTAGACCCAGCCTCACAGCCGCAGGGGCAAGTTTGAGCTTCCACTGCTCCAGGGAGTTGCCCCAAAGTCCTCAGCCTAGAGCCTTTCCTCACATCCCGGGACTCTATGCAT